GGAGGGGTCCCAGTTGGAGAAGATGCAGGCTATGCTGAGGGACACCCCCCCGCCCCCGGTGCACGAATTTTGTGCACCTGGCCTCTAGTTGTAAATAACGCTGCCCTGAACATAGCTATACAAATATCTGTCTGAGTCTCTGCTTTTAATTCTTTCGAGTACATCCCCCAGGAATGGAATTGCTGAGTCACATGGTAATTCTGTGTTTAACCTTTGGAGAAACTGCCAAAATGTTTTTCCTTCTTCTGACTTTTAAATCAAAGGTCTTCACTAGACAACAGTTACATGAAATGCTCAACTGCACTTCCCAGGAAAGTGCTATTGGTGAACATCGCCCACTGCCCTATGCAATGGTTTCTACATGAAACCCCATGAGGGAACCTTTCCTCTGAGAATCAGAATTCCAGGGTGGGTCAGGACTCAGGCATGGAGCTTGCAGCCCAATCTGAAGCCTGAATAATCATCGTGGGTCCCGTGCCCACACGCCTTGGTAACACCCTGTATCATTTCTAGTCACTTGGGCCTGACTTCCAATGGCTACATCTTTGCCACTGTGCTACCCTTGTGCTGTCTGTGCAAAAGCAGGCCTGAAGCACCTGGGAACCATATGCTTGTGTGTCCCTGCCCTCCAAGCACCTTTTACCCAATTGCTGACAGGTGTGGGAGTATAAAGATTCTCCCCGCCCCTGCTCCCAGCTCCCGTGAAGCCTGGGAGCTTTCTGGGTCAGGAGCTTTGCCCTGCTGTCCAGCTTCCACATGGGATTAAGTACAGAAGCACCTAGTTTTACTGTGCTTCACTTTATTGTGCTCCATTTTTTAAAAAAGGTTACAACTTGCTTTATTGTGATCCCTGCTTTATTACGGTGGTCTGGAACCGACCCCGTAATGTCTCCGAGGTCTGCCTCTACCAGTTGCTCACTGGTTCCTGCCTCATACATCCCTATATGGACTTATGTCCCCCTCTACCTGCCTGTATCCCTTGCACCTGCCAATCAACTGCTTGAACTCAAATTCTTGGCTTGGGCTCTGCTTCTGAGGCAACCTAAACTCAGACAAAGCTCCTCCTAGCAACTTTCAGGGCCTGTTTGCTTTTCACGTTTCTGTTCTTCTTTTTCCTGATTCTGAAGTTTTACTTACATTCAATGATTGTTTTACTGTATGCTTTCTTGTTGTGTTATCTCAAAGTCTATGCATTATAAAGGACGGTGGAGCTGATTTTTAAAAGAAAAACACCACCATCTGTAATAATCTATAATAATAAAAGCATAATATGCTAATTAAACCAGACAGCCAAACAACCTTCTGGATATCATCCCGAATGTCCTTCCAGATGAAGCCTCGGAGCAGGGCAAGGCAGAGGCAGTTAGGGGCAATCAGGAGGAGTCGGTTAGGGGCAATCAGGCAGAGCCCGCTAGGGGCAATTAAGCAGGCAGGCGAGCAATCAAGGGCAACCAGGCAGGCAGGCAGAATGGTTAGGGGTGACCAGGCAGGCATGTGAGTGGTAAAGGGCGATCAGGAAGGCCAGCAGGCAAGAGAGCAGTTAGGAGCCAGCAGTCCCGGATTGTGAGAGGGCTGTCCGACTGTCAGTTTAGCCTAATGGGAAGTCAGACATCCCCTGAGGGGTCCCAGATTGTGAGAGGGTGCAGGCCAGACATCACCCCCCATGTATGAATTTTGTGCACTGGGCCTCTAGTCCTATATAATAAACGGATAATATGCAAATTGACCCTAAAGGTGGAACGACCAGTCGTTATGATGTGCACTGACCACCAGAGGGCAGACACTCAGTGCAGGAGTTGCCCCCTGGAGGTTAGTGCTGCTCAGCCACAAGCTGGCTGCTGGCTGTGACCACAGTGGCGGTGCTGGGAGCCTCTTCTGCCTCCTTGGCAGCACTAAGGATGTCTGACTGCGGCTTAGGCCTACTCCCTGCGGGAGTCAGACATCACCCAAGGGCTCCAGGGCTGCCAGAGGGATGTCTGACTGCCAGCTTTGGCTCAATCCCTGAGCTGGCAGGCAGACATTCCTGGAGTGGTCCCACGTTGCAAGTGGGCACAGGCCGGGCTGAGGGACCCCCTCCCCCCGTGCATGAATTTTCGTGCACCAGGCCTCTAGTGTAACGTGATGATTAAAATACAAGATAAATGGTTCACAGAATGAGATCCCAATTTTTAAAACTACATATGCACATACATGTGTGCATAGGCCAAAAAGAACTCAAAGGAATGCATCAAATGTTAACAGTGGTTACGGATGATGTAACTTTTTTTTTCCTTTATACTTTATTTTACAAAGAACATGAAGCTTTAGTGTCCCTATCTATAAAGTGGAAATAATCTTATCTACCTCATGGAGTTGTGTTGATTGAATTACCTGCATCACGTACTCACACAATAATCACAGTATGTGCCTAATGTGTATCCCAGTAAAGGGTAGCAAGTGTGTTATTGCTGCAGCAACTCATGAAACAGTTTAAGAGGAAAGGTTGGAAATATAAAAATAAGCCAATATATAGTGCTTTGTACTTTTTAAAGAACTTTCCTTAGATGAGCTCACTGTCCCTCACAAGAACCCTACATAAGGGAGCGGCTTAGGGGGAGGGGTGGGCAGGAGCAGGGACTGACATCTACTGCACAGGTACACGGTGAGCACCTGCCAACAGCTCGGGTGAGAGGGATGGGGCTCCCAACACCTGCCAAAGCAGCAGAAGAAAAACCAACAGCGCCGATTCCGGGCGCCCTGTCCAGTTTCCTTCTATCCCACCAGGCTCCGTTATCATAACTGAGCCTCTTACATGCTCAGCCATCCAAGACTTTCTCCGTTCCTAAGGCATTGCTGTTCGCCAGCCTATCAACACACTCTGTTCCTTCCTAGCTCCTTGTCCAAGGGGAGTCTAGGGGAGGGGGGCACAGGATGGGACAGGACGCGTGTAAGGTGTGTGTCAGAGGCGAGGATGTAGCCCCCCAATCTCCTATTAAAAGATCACATAACTATTCTAGTGAAATAAAAACCCGGTACTTGCTATGCAAACACAGCAGAGTCAAGGGGAGTTACGTGGCAACACTTGCCAAGCAGTTTGCTCCCCCGAGTCCTACCTACATACAAATCCTGGGCAATCTCCTGCGATGGGATGTGGGAGGCGGCACAATGCGGGACTCAGGGCATTCTGCTAAGAGAATTCTGCGAGGAATGTGGGCTACCACCTCAGCGCCCGTGTTCTGGTCATCACAGAGAATGCTGGCAGTTCTCCTTGCCAGACCCCCAGTTATTGTGGTATCTCACTGGCCTGCTGACGGGCAGGGCCACCGGGGACAGGCGGTGGGGGTGGGGCAGGGCAGTGAGCCAGGCAGTTCAGGACAAAGCACTTCAGATGCGGCCTGTGCATCCCGTCCCTAACCGTCCCCTAACCGCCCCGTGCTCTCCGCCTGGCCTCCTCCTCACCCACAGAAGCCCTGGGCTTCTTGACTGACCTTGGGGCGCCTCTCCTGACCAACCAGGCCTGAGGCCGAGCTCCGTTACGTGTGCTCGTTCCCCTGGCAGAATGGCTACTTTAGGCAGCCTGGAACGGGAGCTTCGGGGAAGTTCGCCTGGTCACCCGCCTCGCTGACAAGCTCTCTTGCCTGCCCCCTGGGGTGCCACCGACAGCCTGGGCCACTCCCTTTCAGAACCCCCTCCTCTGCTCCAGCTCTTTTCTGTCTTCAAAATTTCTACAGCATCTTCCCCAAACCCCTCATCACTCGATTATGTTTCAAGGATGAATTATCTTTAGAAAGGTGGTGCAGACATCCAACTTTTCCCTTCTGCTGGGAATAAAGGCATAACTGGCTATAGCCAGTTTGTTCAGAAACTTTCAGTGGCTCCCAACGGCCTCTAGATAGGGTCTAGCTCCTTCGTAAACATGAAAGAGACACCCCTGTCCCATTAGCCTTCTACAGACCGGCGGTCACCAACCTCTGGTCCCCGCCCCAGCGGTGGGCCGTGAAGTCCGAAAGGTTGGCAGCCGCTGCTGTAGACCAGGGGGCCCTTGAGTGCAATTCTTTCCTCCTTCCGGATGCAAAACCCAAACCGTACCTAACACCACGGGGTTAGCCTCATGGCCACTTCTCCCTCCATTTTTCAGGGAAGGAAACGGTTTCCATTCTCATTAGCATGTTGCCTGACCTTCAATCTGGTGTTCAATCTAATTTTCTCTGTAAACTTGTAGTTAAGGATGGACTCTTTATCTTATTTTTTGTTCAATCTCACCCGAGAATATTTTTTCCATTGATTTTTAGAGACAGTGGAAGGGAAAGGGAGATGATGAGAGAAGCATCGATGTGAGAGAGACACATCGACTGGTTGGTTGCCTCCTGCATGCAACCTGGGCCAGGGCCGGGAAACCTGTAACCAAGGTACATGCCCTTGAACCAGAATCCTACCCGGGCCCCTTTGGCTTGTTGGGGGCCGATGCTCTAACCCACTGAGCCAAACCGGCCGGGGCAAGAAAAGCCTCTTCTTAAACGCGGGCTCCGTTCCCTCGCCTTGTGAGTGGTACTAACTCAATCAACGTTTACAGGTCCCTGCCGCAATGGGTAAGCTTTCTTCCTCAAGTTCCACGAATCCGAGCCATGTCTTCTCAACTAGCCTGAGCATCTCCCGGAGCAGAGAGCCTCCAACGTAAGGACCATTCAAGTCCCCCGGGTCCTTTGTTAATAGCGGATTCTGACTGGGGGGGGGGGGGGGGGGTCAGGGGAGGGGCTGAGACTCTGCCTTTGTAACAAGCTCCCAAGCGATGCAAATGCAGCTGGACCCCATTTAGGGAAGCCGCCGGCAAGCGATACCACCTGCGGGCCAGGTGGAGGCGGAGACGCCCCCGCGCCGGGGGTGGGGGTGGGCAGCCTGCAGAGCGGCGGGGGAACCGGACGGAGGTGGAGAAGCGCCGGTCCCCACCCCTGGAAGCGCCCCCGCCGGGTGAGGTGCCAGCGAGCCCCGCCGCGCCCCCGCCCGCCGCGCGGCGCACGTACCGATGGTGGACACCACGGTGCCCACGAAGTAGAAGGCGCCGGTGAAGTCCCAGCGCGGGCGGGTGTGGTCCACGCGCACGCCCGCCTCGGCCGCCTCCTCGTAGTGGCGGAGGAAGCCGCGCAGCTCGCCGCGGCTCAGGTTGTGGCGGCGGCCGAAGTCGGCCAGGCGCTCCTCCCAGCGCTGCTTGGCCTGGCGCTCGTGCGCCAGCTCCAGCGCCGAGAACACGGCCGCGCCGCCCAGCAGGTAGAGCGCGATGAGCGCGGCCAGCAGCAGGAAGCGCGCGTTGTCCTCGCTCAGGTGGCCCGGGCCGCAGCCGCAGCCCCGGCAGGCCATGGCCGGGCCCCGGACGACCCCGCCGGGCCCCGGGCTGACCCGCCGGGCGGGCGCTCAGCTCGCTCCCCGCCGCCCGACGGCCGGCTCAGCCATGTCCGCGGGGCGCTCCCCCCGGGCCCGCGGCTCCCGGGGCGGCCGCCGCCGCCGCGGCCGGGGCTGCGGAGCCAGCTCCCCACGTCCGCCCAGACTCCTGGTTTCAAATCCGCTTTTCGCCGCCGCCGCCGGTGGGTTCTCTAAACGCCGACGGTCCGAGCGGGAGGACGCAGAGCCCGCTGCTGCCGGGCACCGGGATGCGGTGCGTTCCCGCCCCGACGCCGCCGCCGCCGCGGAGGCTCAGACTGGGGAGGGGGCGTGGCGCGGCCTCAGGGCAAACTCCCTCGGAGCTGCATGTTCCCCGGGGCGAGGGTGGGGGGCGGTGCGGGGAGGCTGGCGGGGGTGGAGGGTGGGGTGGGCGGAGCCCCGCGGACCCCGTCTCTGGGACCCTCGTTTCTCCAGCCAACGGCTGGGACGCGGGGTCGCAGGGGGCCGGCTGGCTTTGCAGGTGGATCGGGGATGCGTCCCGGTCGTGGCGTCGCTCAGCTCCGGAGCCCCAGCTCCATCGGGTCCCCGGCGGGCCCGGGACGTGGAGGCTGGAGCAGCTCCGGGCGGGCGCACCTACGGGCCTGTGCGGTTTCCACCGCCCACCCACCCACCCGGCCCCCGAGCGGGGCGGCATCCGGCGGGCCGAGCCGCTGGAGGAGGAGACAGAAAGGGAGGTGGGAGTGAGGGAGCGGAGGAAGTTGGGGGAGTCGCCCCGGAGGCCTCCCTCGCCTGGCCTGGAGCCAGGGAGCCCTTGGCCTCGGAGCCCGGCGCGGGGGCGTCTCCGCCTCCACGTGCTGGTTCTGCGGGCGCAAAGAGCGCCGCGAGGCAGCCCGGGACCCCAGAGAGGGCCATCTCCTCTGCCCGGACTTGGGTGCGCCCCAGAGATTTTGCGCCCACAGGGCTTCGCAAGGTGCTCCCCCGCCCTGTGCAGACCCGCGGCACGGCCTTAGGTACCGCCTGGGGCAGGGGCCTCCCTGAGACCCCGCCTTTCAGCGGGCGTCGGCGCTGCGGCGCGCTCCAGCCTCACCTCCCGGGGAGAGTCCCTCGCTGGGGTCTGTCCCCCGTCCCCTCCTCGCTGCGGCCCTGCCCTGCGCTCTGCCGGGCTTTGCCGACGCTGCAACAGGTGCAGCTGCGCGGCTGCCGGCGCCAGTGCCCGCGCCTCCACCCTGCCCGCCGCCTCTCGGACGCGCGGGGCCGCCCGCGGATGCCCGGCTCCCGGCGGGCCTTCTGGGGGCTTCGGTTCCCCCACCCCGGGCACCGCGCAGACACACAAAGTGGGTGCTGAGGAGGCGGGCCCAGCGCTGGTCGGGCTGTGTGGGCTTCTCACAAGCCAGAAGGGGGAGCTCCATCCTTCCAGACAGCTCGCCCCCACCACCAGCCACCCGCTGCTCCTGGAATCACCAGCCCCTGAAACGTGGGAGTGAATATGGATCCGTAAAGGAATAGACGTGGGCACCTTTGAGCGAAGCAAGATTTCTCCACCTCCCAAATGGGTTGTTTTAGGCTCAAAGCCCAACCGCCCACCTACACTCCCCAGGAGCAGAGGAAAAACCCCCACAGCTCTGGATTCCAATATTCTGCCACCAGAAGCCCCAATGCTTTGAGTGTTACTCTCAGGTCCAGAATGCCCCCCTTTTATCTAGCCTTGGGGGGTAGTGGCTATGGGGTCATGTGTACACACCATGGGTGAGTCCTGCAACTACTCCCCTCGCCCCCATTTTATTATGAAAAATTTCAAACTAAGTTGTAAGAACTATACAGTGAACACCCATATACTCACCACCTTGATTCCACAATGAACACTTACTATACATGCTTTAGTGCCCAGCTACCCATCCCTCTTCCCATCCATCAACCCACCTGGTTTAAATGCATTCAGAGCAAGTTTTGTAGACATCAGTACATCCCCTCTCTCTCCCAATACTTCTCCCTGCATATCATGAGTTCAGTATTTATTTAGATTTTTTTTTTCTTTTACACACAGTGAAAATTGAAAATCTTACGTGAATCATTAGAGGAATTCTGACCCCAGCCAGCTGTGAGACCCGGAGGACATCCTGAACCTTTCTGGGCCTGTTTCACTGTGATTTGAAGGCATCCAACTGGGTCACCTTTTGGGATTTCTTCCGAGTAAAACACTTGTGTGCTTTCGTATGATTTGTGAGGCGTCTTTGCTAGGAATCTTTGGGGATGGATGGAAGAGACATCCACGCAGCTTGGGGAACTGGTGAGATGACGGCAGGTGGCCCCAGCCACCAGTGAGCCCCATTGCAGGCAGTGAGATGGCCAGCCTGGTGCTGGGAGGATGGACAGCCTTGGGACAGTGCTGGGCTGGGGGCCACAGGGCTCACCGGTCTGCAGGGCAGCCCACCAGCCTCAGCATCAGGCCTGGAATCTGCAGACTTGGGCCTTCGACCCCGACACCCCGGAGGCAGAGAGAGGGCTGGGTGGGAAAGCAACCCCCCCCCCCCCACCACCAGACACATACATGGTCAACCCTGACTTCAGAAGGGCTGACACCATCGCGAGGTTCCAGTCACTGCCAGGAGAACTTCATATCTATATTCTTTTCACATTGACATTTAATAGCCTTCATTCCAAAGTGCAGCATTGAAAAGGGGATTAAGAAAATAGAACCTTTTATTTTTTTTAGTGGGAAGTGTTAACAATGACTACTACAACTGTGACCAACATCCATGTTCCAGAGTGACCTCTCTAAGGGATGTGAACACCCAGTACCAACAAGGACTCCAGTGTTTGGGGCTCCACGCCTTACACTCAAGGTTCACAGAGCTTCACCCCTCAGGACGGGACCCACATGTTCCCGTGTGTGTCTGGGGCTTTGACATAAGGAATGTTCCAAATCCATGGCCGATCTGGGGGAGAAAAACACATCACATTTAATACTTACTTGCCTAGGATCACCGAGAATCCACGCAGCAGCTCGGATAAAACCACTCACGTGCTGCAGTGTCTGAATTGTAAAGAACCTTTTTTGAACCAACCCCGGACCCTAGCCCATTTCAGAGAATGGTTTTTAGTAAAGGTTCGGGTTAAGACTTGGGCAGGAAGCCAGGTGCATTCTGGTTGCCACTCACACTGACAAGTCGCTTCACCTCTCCAAGCCTCAGTTTCCCTATCAGTACCTCTGTCATGGGGCTGTCATGAGGTTGAGACAAATCCATGTGGTGTGCAGGACAGTGTCCAGCAGAGAGAGCACCTAACACCTGTTCAAGTCCCGCTTTGCCCTCCTTTGCACGCCCGGAAGCAACTGGAATTTGGCCTCGGGTTCCTCACCTGTGAAATGGGAACTGGTAACTGTAGCAACCTTGGGAGGTGGTTGTGGAGCGTGAATGACAACACCTGTGAGCGTTATGATGCTCAATAGACTTGAACTTTTCTTCCTCCCTGGGAACTGATGTCAGAAATGGAGAAAATCTGCCGAAACCAGTTTGGCTCAATGGATAGAGCGTTGGCTTGGGGACTGAAAGGTCCCGGGTTCGATTCCGGTCAAGGGCATGTACCTTGGTTGCGGGCATATCCCCAGTAGGGGGTGTGCAAGAGGCAGCTGATCAATGACTCTCTCTCATTGATGTTTCTAACTATCTCTCTCCCTTCCTCTCTGTATAAAATCAATAAAATATATATTTAAAAAAAGAAAAAAAAGAAAAAGAAATGGAGAAAATCTGAACACTCCCTGTGTGCACATGTCACTGCTGCCTGAGTCAAACCATTTCAAGGAACAGCAAGGGTCCAGGTAGGGAGTAAATACAATGTAAGGACCAAAAATAAGGCCTGCCGGGACCGGTTTGGCTCAGTGGATAGAGCGTCGGCCTGCGGACTGAAAGGTCCCGGGTTCGATTCCGGGCAAGGGCATGTACCTTGGTTGCGGGCACATCCCCAGTAGGGGGTGTGCAAGAGGCAGCTGATCGATGATTCTCTCTCATCAATGTTTTTTAACTCTCTATCCCTCTCTCTTCCACTCTGTGAAAAATCAATATATTAAAAATAAATAAATAAAATAAAATAAAAATAAGGCCTGACGGGACTGTCCTGGTGAGTATGAGAGAACAATTCGGTGAGCTGATAGTGAACAGGACGCTGAGCAGGTCTGCGGAGACGGACCGGCCCCTGAAACCTGCTCTGCCCTGCCAACAGCCTTCCCTCTTCCCCCAGAGACAGATGGCAGCTCGGGGCGCCTGGCAATCAGTGGTGCCTGTTGCTCTCCTTCCAGCCGCACTGTGCTGAGTAATCGAGAGCGAGCAGTTAAACAGCAGGAAAGCCCTGGTGGGTACCTCAGTTGGTTAGAGCATTGTCCTGACACACCGAGGTTGCGGGTTTGATCCCCGTTCAGGGCACATACAGGAATTAAACAATGAATGCACGAATAAGTGTAACAACCAATCAGTCTCTCTTTCTCCCTCCCCCTTCCCCTCTCTAAAATCAATTAAAAATATATAAATATATAAAAACAGCAGGAAAAGACATGGTAACAAGTTATCACACCCCTGTTCTCTTCCCCCTAGCCTTGCGATGGTTTGAAAGCATGAAACCACACACTTTTTTTGCTAATAACCAAGCTTGTGAGAGAGCCCGTGTCACATGCTGGTTTGACAGAGGGTGAGGGTCTGGCGGGGCTGGAGCCAGACTCCCCACCACTCACGGGCCTCACCAAACCCCGCCCTCTTCCCTCAGAGCCTGTCTTCTGCAGCTGGACTTCTCCGTACCACCGGGCTCTCCCTGCAAACGCTGCTGGCTGCCACCAGGTCTGCTTCACCCCCAAGATGGAAGACACCTGGTTCTTGCTACCTGAGCAGGTACTAGAGATTCCTCACCAATGCAGGGTTTGTGTGCCAACACCTGCCAGCAGCCGGGAGGGTCAGGACCACCACTGCATTTCCGCCTCCCCCGAAATTAGCCAGCCACCAGCGCCCGTGAAACCCCGGTGCTCCGCTTTGTAAGTGAGCAACCACCTGCACCTGCAGGCTGTCACTCCTGGGGGAAAGCCACAGACAGGGCCACCAGGAGAGGTGAAAAGGAGGGTGATTCTGCCTTTTTACCCATCACTACTGGCAGTCAGCATTAATCAGCAATCCGCCTCAACTGTCTATCTCATCAGGAGAACTCGCCTCGTGATCCAGTCATGTGTGTATCTGAGACACTGCTAAGTGCCGGGGAGATAGCAAGTTCTCTGCCAGACAGAGCTGAGGCCCACCCAGTTTCCAGTCCGATGGGCAGAGGAACCAGCAGGCACCCATGGTGCCGGGATTCTGTACTTTGCCGTGTCTGCATACCTGGCACAAAAACTGCCTGGGTAGTTCCCTAACCCGGCTGATGTGAGAATCTCTCACCCCCAGAAAGCTTGTTTCAATCGCCCTCCCCCCCAGGCTGGGTCGTGGTGACATGCTTTTTATCAAGTTCAAAAGGTGATCTTGCCCTAGCCGTGTTGCTCAATGGGTAGAGCGTCGGTTTGTGGACCAAGGGATACTGGGTTCGATTCCGGTTAAGGGCACATACCCTGGCTGCAGGCTCCTCCCTGGCCTGGGCCCTGGTCAGGGCTCGTGCAGGAGGCAACCAATCTATATGCTTCTCTGACATTGATGTTTCTATCTTTTTCTCTCTCTAAAAATCAATGGGAAAATATCCTCAGGTGAAGATTAAAAAAAAAAAGGTGATCTTGACTGGGATCCCAGGCTAAGAGATGGGAAGCTGTCCTTTTTCTGGATACGACGGGAGGATTTAAAACTGGAGCATGGCAAAACCAGGTGTGCATGGCGGGGGCATGGATGGCCCAGCGGGAGGAGCCAGAGCTAGGGAGGTGACAAGCCAGAGTGTAGGTGAGACATGAGGAGGCCACCCTGAGGCCACGGCAGGGTGAGGGGATGGCTATGGGGCTCACTGTGCGAATTCCTATCCCATCTCACCTGTGGTCAGGAACTTCCACCTCTTTGAAACTCTCCAACGTCGCCCTCCATGGGGAGGCGCTTCAGTGTATAGGCAAAGGGGGCATGGACGCAGGAACCAGAGTGCCCAGGAGGCTTTGGCTGGGTTAACTGGAGTTCGTGGGGTGAGGGTTAGGGCTCCTCATCGGTAGTAGCTGTATCAGTGTAGTGAGCACTCAATGAATGAATTCATGCCAAGGGCCAAACAGCAGTTCCTGGCACATAATAAGCACTTAAAGATCACCAGCTGCTATTACAGTTACTGTTATAATTACCACCACCCTAAACTCATAGTGGGTGAGGACTGTCATTACCCTATATGCTGTATAAGCCCTAATAGGTTCTTTAACAACCAGACAAACCCGAGTAAAGTTCGAGATCCTGCTCCATTGAGCTGGGTGATAAGCTCTCCCCTCTAATCCTCGAAGAAACGGCTCTTGGGATGAATAACAACTCTCTCTCCCAGCTACCCCGAGGCCTGAACACCCTGCGCATCTGCCACTGTCTCCTTTGCAGGGGAACTTGAAAACAGGGCAAAGGAACCTTCGGACTGGGCTACAACAGCTACAACAGCCTCCTACTCCAAACAATCATTTGCAAAACTAACAGGCAAGCAGACATTACGACTAGAAGACTGAAAATGAAAGACATTCTTTAGAATTAAGCGTCACACTCTGCGCACCAGTGTAGCTCAGTGGCTGGAGCACCCGTTTGCACACTAAGGGGTCACAGGTTTGAGTCCTAGTCAAGGGCACATTCTTGGGTTGACCCCAGGCCCCTGGTTGGACGCATGTGGGAGGCAGGAGGCTATGTGTCCTCTCTCACACAGATGTTTCTCTCTCTTCTTCTCCTTTCCTCCCACTGTCTCTAAAAATCAATGGAAACAACAACAAAGAATTAGCATCACGGTATTAGCTTACTTGCACCTGTGGAAATTCCTTCTTTAGCTCAGTAACACCCACAGAAACGCCTTCCTTCCACTGATGTACCAGTTCCCCTTTCCTTTCTCATGAAAACTTGCCACCGCCTACTGGGAACACTTGTTGGATTTCTGCCTGAATCGGTGCTTCAGAACAGCTATTCTTCTGTATCTCAAGTAAACACTTGTTGCCTCTCACTTTGGCCTTACCAAGAACTTATTCACTTCAAGATCACTGATAAATGACTCTTTTTTACTTTGGTACATCTA